AACCAGCAGTAGGACAAGAGGCCACAGGCTCAAGGTGTGCCAGGGAAGGTTTAGGTTGGATATTAGGAAGAGATTTTTTACGGAGAGAGTGCTCAGGTATTGGAATGTGCTGCCCAGGGAGGTGGGGGATTCACCATCCCTGGAGGTTTTCAAGATGAGACTGGATGTGGCACTTAGTGCCATGGTCTAGTAACCATGGTAGGGTTGGACTCGATGATATTGGAAGTCTTTTCCAACCTGGCTGATTCTATGATTCTATGAAAGAAGGCTCTTCAGGGAACCCTGGGATTGTCAGATGTCTCTTTTCCTAATTTTCTTCCTTAAGCTAGGAAAAAAATTGTATTTTCTTCTGCAATTATGAAGTATGAGTGCATGTTCTCTTAGCTCTATGTGAACCCATTTGATTCTATGATATGCAAATGAGCTCACAGTAATAAAATGTTGCTAGTGACATAGTTACCAAGGAGGAACAGACTGGTTAGACCAGGATTAAACTACAAATTTTATTACAGTTTTGCTAATTATAAACTTTCAGCTTTTGATATTTCTGCCTCTCAGAGCTTACAGAAATGTAGTGTAGCTGCTTTAAGAGTATATAACAGAGGAAAAGAAATATAGAAGTCATTACTCTGATATTTTAGGCAACAATTAAATGACTTTGGAACTCCATCATGTGATTTGTCCCAGTCATCCCTCAGTTTTCTCACAAGACATTTGAGTTGTGGTCAAACCCTCCTGCGTTCTCTGGAGCACTTCTGCTGCAGTGTGGGCAGTAGGGCACTGCAGCAAGGTTGGAGCTGTGATGGAAATCTCTGGTTCTGAAGTTCTTCAAAAGTTACTTCTGGTTGCTAAAATACTGTAAGGTTAAGTGTGTATGAGGCTGAAACCAACCAGTTTTCCTTTACAATGTCCTCTTTTAGCAGAAAACCAGTGTGAGCTGCTTCAGAACAATGGTCTTCCACTTATGATTCAGGTATTAACAGAGTCTCAGGACGAAGAACTAATCAAAGCTGCTACTTTTGTGCTGCAAAACTGCAAACAAATGAGTAAGCTCACTGATACTGCTTTAAAATAACAGTGATTATTTCCATCTCTATGTTCTGCTTTTCTAAATCATTTTAACTGTAGCAGCTTTGTAACTGTGCACTGCAAGATGCTTGTTTTCTGCAGAGAAGTTGCCAATTTGCCACCATGGGCTGATTATGGCATTTAAGCAGAAAAAAGACAAGTAAGAATGCCAACAGTGTTGCAATAATGCATTTGTGAGACCTATACATGTGTGGCCAGTTCTTAAAAGCTTTCCCACCTGGAAGTTTTGTGGAAAACAAAGTCATTTTTGCACAGCAGCATTGTACAAGCAGCTTATAGCAGCTGTAATTGCAAGCTCACCTCTTGTAACTGCAGTTTATGTTTGAAGCGTGTTAACATGTGTCAATATAAGTGAAATGCTATAAAAATGGTTATTCAGAGATTGTATTTTGCATTGACTCACTGAGACTGTCCCTCAGCACTGCTGAAGTATTATGAATACTTACTAACATGTTCATTGATAAAAATTTAAATATTAATGCTGTTTTTTGCCTTACAAAGCTGAACAATTGTCCCTGAAAACAAGTGGCAATTCACCAAGTGTGGACAATGCAGAAGAACTGGACGTGAACATCAGAAGGAGAAGTCTACAAGAGTACTGGAAGAATGCAAAAGAAATTTTACACAGAATAAACATGATTGAACAAGAAGTTGATGAGGTAAGATAAAACTGAGCAAATCTTTACAGAGTTTAGGGAGAAAGAGAAAGCAAACACCTGAGATGGTTTCAGTGTGAGCTAGAGAAGCAGGAAAAATATAGAACATACAGAACACAATAGAGATAATTTAGGTTGGAGAAGCAAGAAGTTGAATTTATTTCTAGCTGCTGGACCTGTGACTGTAATATTTGATATTTTAATATTTATGTACTAAATGCCCATGATTGCACAGCTGTAGTGGGATAGATGATAAAGGAGGATGTGAACTTAAGCTCAAATGAAAGTGTTTCATATTTCTCTTGTGCTTTACCTCTGGGTTTGGGGCAGCAAGGTTATGAGTTATTCAGATGGATCTTAAGTCCATTAAATCCTTCCATTTCTAGCTATGCCTTGTGTTAGTAGCAAATCCATTGCTTCAGCCTGAAACTATCACTTCATAACTATCCCTTCAGCACCCTCAGCAGAACTGCTGTCTTGCTCTCAACTCAGTCAGGGTTTTTGAAGCCTCTCTGGGATTTGCTTTATCCTCAGAGCTGGACTGGTTTGTCTGGTTCATCTTGTTGCTACATTTATTTAGCATTTTTATAGAGCTTCTATAGTCACTAACTAGGATTTTTCAATATAGGAAAGACTTAAAGGAAGAGTATTTGTAGACGGATCTTCAGCAGCAAATCCTGAAGCATTAGAACCCCATGAAGTGACTCCTGCTGATCCAAAAACAGGCATAGAAAGAACACATAAAGAAGTCCATTGTCCACAGTTGAGCTCCAGGTTGGATGATCAAGTTCTTCTTGCTCCATCTGCAAATTCTCCTCCACGAAAACATGAAACAGTTAACCCTATGGATCCAGTTTCTACTAGACAAAGAGGACAGAGTCACATTCCATGTTCAGCTAATGAACTGCCAAGAGATAGTGTACTTCAAACTCACAGTGTAAATGACAGAACTGCTTGTGTGAAAAATCAGTCTGTTCTTCAAGCAAGGTAAGTATCTTTCACCAGAGCAGAAATACTAAGTTGCTTTTCTTTGGTAATTTCCAGTTGAATGTCAACCTTATAAATTATCTGTCACTGTCTTTTTCTTCTAGTGAAAAGACATAGCCTTGTGGTGAACCTCTAGAGAATGTTCTGTGGAAGTGTTTTTGAGATTATAGACACTGTAGTAACAAAAGCTTCTGATCTTTTACTCTGAATGTTCCATAGAGAGCCTTTTCCACGCTGTGTCCTAGTGCCTTCAGCGCAGTGGTGAGAAATCTTCCATGGCTTTTGCCTCAGAATTCTCACTGATGCAACAGATCAAGATTTAACCCATTGGTTTGGACAAAACCACAAGGGCTTCTGTACTGTGCACTTACCAGGAAAACATCAGGTAGAGAGCTGCTCCAGAAAAATCAGAATTGGAGTGTCTACAAACCAGGGAAAAGGGTTTCCCCCCATGTCCAATTGCTTCCCTGTGTGGGAAGAGAAAGGCACAGCCCTGTTAGTCACTCACTGTTCTCTTGCTCATTGCTCTCACACAAATGCTTATTTTCCTCTTCTTCTTTTGCTTCTTATGGTTACATTTCCTATTGATAGATTAAAAAAATTCTTTAAAGGCAACTTGCAAGCATAAATACAGATTCCATTCACTGGAATTTGTATCTGGAATATCCCTGAAGACAGTCAGTGAGACACTAGGAGCAAAACTGCTTTACTTTGAGTTCGTTTGTTTATTTGTTTGTACTTTTGGTGGGTTATTCTTTTTGAGTTCCACATTGTTATTGTGTATTTTTTACATGGCTGTCTGCACCTTGCCCTATGTAGTGCCCTTGTGTGCATCATATTGTTACTTTGCAACTACCACAGGAATTCCCAAGAGCTTGGATGTTTTCCGTGGCACATTCAGGTGAATTTTGCTTTGCTGATTAGCAGAACTTCACACAGCTTCTTCTGGCCTCTGAAGCACAAAACTAGTCAGGAATATCTGTCCTTGCACATAAGTGTGAAAACAGGAGTTCCTGAAGGATAACCGTGGATTGGACTCCTTGCTCTTGCAGCATTCAGAGGGAGTCAGGGACACAAAAATGCACCATCACCACGTCACAGGAACATGTTGGTGGCAGAGAAATTAATCAGCGTAAGAAAAGAAGAAAAACAGTTACCTTTTAGAGCATTTGCTGCCAAAAAATTGGTGAAGGCTGCAGTGTTTTGAAGGCTTTGTGAGAGTTTTATGTGCATTAAGTAATGTTCCTATGAGGCGAATTGCCAATCACTCTGGAAAGCAGAACACTGCCAGGGATGCTTATCACAGCTCTCTGGTGAGCAGGTGTTTAACACGTGCTGGATGATTCCATATGGGCAGTTACTTGGGATCTTTAGAATAATTTCTTTAGAGTTTTGTATATTTAATCTGTTCTTTGTTTTGCCTTTGGAATGTGTGTGTTAATGGACAGGTAAATGTATGTTGTGAAATGTAATTCCTTTTAATGTCTTCACATTTTGATCTTCCCAGCAAAGAGTTATTTAGACAACCTGCAGAGGCTGTTAGAAATGGAAGACAGACATGCACTTCAGGTACAAATAGCTAAATGTGTTCCTCTCTTAGATGATTTTGTCCTTAATGAGATGTTAATTAGTTTTGTGTGCTTTTATCACTACTTTTCACCGGTTGTTAACATCTCATTAGGTGAGAGAATACATTATGTACAGTATCCTTCAACTGTTTTGCACAGCATTGCATTTTTAAATTATACACAATTTTACCAGGAGAATATTCACTCTACTTTACTTTTAATACATGTTTTAGCTTTCTTTTTTCAATTGATGTTAACTATTCGAACCAATGTATCACAGGTTAGTGTTTCAAGTTTCGTCTGAGTGCAGTCAGTGCTGAGCAGTGAAAGCCATGAACAGAGACTGCACAAGGTGCTGGTTTGGTTCTGTACCTGTAGGCCTGGGGACAGACCTACCTGTGTGAGCTTCTTCTGCCTGAAGCTGTTCCTGCACATCGAACATGTGTCTGAAAGAAATGGTTGTCAGACTTGCATTGCTCTTAGTCTGATACATTTCTTTCAGAATTGGGATCTGTTCAATCAGACTTTTATTCATAATTTAGTTTCCTGTTGATTTATAATTTTTATTATTTATTATTATATTATTGTTTGATTGATCGATTAATTAGATTAGTGCTTGCCAGAGCAGTAGCTTTACAGGTGATGAGCTGGTCTCCAAGTTAGACCTATTTAATCTGAGAGTATATATTATTCCAGTGCATCACATTTTTCAGCATCTGATTCCAGGCAGAATCCAAAGCACTGTAAGTTCCCAGGGTTGTTTTGCTGTGTTCAAGTTGAAGTCATATCTATGGGAGAGCAATGAAGGAGCACTGAGTTGAGCATAAGTATTCTGGATTTATAAAAATGTAGAATTTCGTTTAGACTTTCTGCTGTTAGGTTAATTAAACTTCAGTAATCTACAGATAGCAAATGCAGTTGAGTGTGGGTACACTGATGCATGGTTACCATGCACAGGTTACATTTTCTTAGTGGGTTTTTCCTTCCTCATTTAGATCAAGGTTCATTCTACTCAGAGAAAACTGGGAAAGACAGAAGTACTGCAGCTACATCTTCATCCCATAAAATGTCAGATTTGAGGTGTTCAGGTAAATATTGTCTTAGGTCTTTCTTTCCAGAGTGCATAAAGAAGCCTTAATCAATGCAGTGAGTGGATTGACATTACAGAAGTGTTAACACATCTGTTGGGTTACCTATTATGTAAGTCTTCACTGCATCCTTCCCTTTTTTTGCCTCTCAAATCAAAGGTAAATACTGAACTAAAGCTTACACATTGTAGCTTTGGTCCATGGATCTTAGTGGGTACAAAGAGGATGCACAATAGCTTAGAAACTGACACATTCCTTACAAGAATGCTGTGGAGCAGGTGCTTTCCTCCCTTCTCTGATTGCAGAGGGAGCAAGAACATGTAGCCCTGCTCATTTCCCTCATTTATTCTCCTGGTAAGCCTCCTAAGTACTCTGCAGCCTTTCTGTTCTCTCTGCCTCACTGCTATTCAGTACAGGCAGTGAGTCTTGTGGTAACGCATTACTGCAGCCCTCAGTTACCTCAGTTCTACTTCCTCAGTTTGCTCTGTCAGTCGGTTGGTCATAAGAATGCTGCTGGTGCTCAGGATTTGTAAGTGGATTTGGTCATCAGGCCTGTGCTTCTTTATTAAAAAACCCAGTAAAACAATAAAAACTCACCAAAACAAAACCCAGACAACAACAACAAACACTCAAAGCAGCCCATAACCCACCTTTGAATGTTATTTTTATCCCAGTTGTCAAACTAAATTCAACCTGAGCTTTAGTTAGAACATTGCAGGTATGTACCTGTGCCCTTATGATTCCTCACACAAGTTCTTATTCAGCTGATGTAACTGTGAGAACACCCAAGAGTAGCTAAACCATAAATTGTCCTGGTACTGTCCTCAAAAACAAACAGGAAGGCTTCCTGGGAGGGAATTCATCCTAAGCTAGACTTAGCATTTTTTCAGGTTAATACAGGTCACTGTTACAACAGGAAGTTTCAAAGTATAGCAAAGACATATCTTATATTTTGGCCTCTGGATAAATGCACAAAGGAAACTGAGGTTCTTCCCATCCTACTGATATTTGTCCTGCTGTGGAGGATCTGTGCCTCATTCAGTACCTCTGCAGCTGAAGTACAGTAGAACTTGGTACCATGAAACACTGAAAACCCTTCTTTTATTTTGCAGGATAGAAAGTACAAAGCAAGAAGTGTTTTCAAGAAGATACTTAAAAATGAAACATCTTTAGAGATGTAATGGGGATAAATTGAAAGAAGGAAATTGAGATTAGATATCAGGAAGAAGATTTTCCTGTGAGAGTGATGAGACACTGGCACAGGTTGCCCAGGGAGGCTGTGGCTGCCCCAACCCTGGCAGTGTTCAAAGCCAGGTTGGCTAAAGCCTTCAGCAACTGTTCTGCTGGGAGGTGTCCCTGCCCAGAGGCTTGGGACTGGGTGATCTCTAAGGTCCATTCCAACCCCTTAACATACTATAAAACTGTATGTATGTGGCAAACTGGAGATCAAATTATAGGTCCAAGTGAGCAAAAGGAACCATGGCTGCCCCAACCCTGGCAGTGTTCAAAGCCAGGTTGGCTAAAGCCTTCAGCAACTGTTCTGCTGGGAGGTGTCCCTGCCCAGAGGCTTGGGACTGGGTGATCTCTAAGGTCCATTCCAACCCCTTAACATACTATAAAACTGTATGTATGTGGCAAACTGGAGATCAAATTATAGGTCCAAGTGAGCAAAAGGAACCACTGGACTTGAGTTCTGTTGTTTTCTGCTTGTTGGTCCTACAATATCCTATTGCTTTCCAGGTTGTACAGCAGAAGGACTGTCTTTCAACAGTAAAACATTTACCAAGATGTTACAAAGTTGTCCACACCAGTGTGACCATCACAAAGTCATTCTAGAAGCTGAAGAAAGATACAGGAAGGACCTTCGCAAATGGGCTGGTTATGACAACACCAGATGCACAGCTCAGCAGGGTAATTATCAGTTGGGTTTTAGCAGGTGTAACTATTGTTTTAAACTCTGTTTGCAATTCTGAACGTTTTCTGGTCTGATTCTGGTTGCCTTGCTGTTTTAAACTCACTCAGTTAATTTGATTTGCCAACAGTTTGTACCAAGTGAGATCAGAACGGGCCACTGTTGTTTTGAGACTCTTGTGCATTCCTTGGCAGTGGTGACAGATCCTCATTATGGGCTTGAAGAGACTCTGGCATGTTTGCCAGAAGTGCTCAAGTACTAAGAGAAGGGAATGTATTAAGCTGAAATAAGTGTGAATGGATGTGTGACATCATAACAAGGTCATTTCATTCTAATACTGCATACTAAGATGTTTGTAATTCCTAATGAATTGAGTAAAAGCACATCCCATATTCTTCTGGGTTGAAGGAGGCATTTTGAAAATGAAACAGTTATTGCTTACTGACATTTGTACTGGTGTCCATCTTATATTTTCCAGACATACTGCTGACCCCAGCAAAGGACAGACTGCATACACAAATATCAACTTTCAGGAGCCAAAAGGATATTTTCCAAAGTAAGAGAAATTAATGCAAAAAGCCCTTACTGTGTATTAGTTCTTTTGCAGAACTTTACCATGGGAGGCCGTGGATAGGGAATTATGAGGTTTTGGGGTTTCTTTGTCTCTATATTCTGTGAGCAATCTGTATATTAACAGGCCAGAAAATGCACACTCTATAGTCACGAAGTTGCGTGATACACATTATTTCACCGCAGAGTTATCTGGTACTTGCTGTGTGGATCCTGCTTTGAATCCTGTCAGGGTTATTTCCACGACAACTGCTGTTTTTCAGTTTTGTGGCATTCATTTTCAAACTAGAGAGGTGTGGTCAGGATGAGAACAAAGTGCAGTGCCTGTTCCCGGATTCCTCATCAGTCTGTTATGCAGTTAGAACCATGTTCTTCCATTGTACCTGTCTGTGTTCCTGCTGGGAGCTCTGCTGAGGACTTCACCAGGGATCTTTTTCAGAGTGTGGTCGTTATGGGTACCTGCAGAGCTTCAACTGCAGGATAACTACATTCATCAGCTAGGAACCAGCACTGTTCTTGTGACTGATACCCAGATATTTTTCAAGTAGGCTGAAGCAGTTCTCTAAACTCTAAAACTATTATTCCTTTGAAGTCCATTCCCTTTGGAGAAATCAGCCTACTCCTCAGGAATTCTAGTATTCTGTTTTCAAAAGCCTTTTTTACATGGTTATTTTAGTTAATTAATTTCCAGTAAAAGCTAGTAGGTTGATTTTTAAATTTGGTTATATGTTTTCCCCTCCAGATTCAGAAATTAATTAATTTGTCTGTGATAGTCACAAAGATATTTTAAATTTTAAAAAACCCAAACCAAACAACTTTATTTCATCTCAAGAGCCCATTACAGTTATACATTTTCTTTAGCAAGTAAACATTTTCTAAAGTAAACTGAATTTTCCAGTCTTTTTTCCAAGAGCAGATAGCTGTATGACTTCAAAGGTGGCTTTTAATTCCTAAAACATTACCTGTGTTTTGTGGTTTGTTTTATTTCTACGAAAGATGTCCCTGTAGCCTGGAGAAGAGAAGGTTGTGTGGAGACCTCAGAGCACCTTCCAGGATCTGAAGGGGCTCCAGGGAAGCTGCAGAGGGACTCTTCATTAGGAACTGCATGACAAGGAGCAATGGGGATAAATTGAAAGAGGGAAATTTAGGTTATACCTTAGGCCGAAGTTTTTCCTGTGAGGGGGCACGGGTTGCCCAGGGAGGCTGTGGCTGCCCCAACCCTGGCAGTGTTCAAAGCCAGGTTGGCTAAAGCCTTGAGCCAACCTGTTCTGGTGGGAGGTGTCCCTGCCCAGGGCAGGGGGTTGGGACTGAATCATCTCTAAGCTCCATTCCAGCCCCTGAACAATGTATGACTATATGAATCGCTGAATCTATGCATAATGCTTTTTTTTGTTTTGTTTGGTTTTTTAAGGTATTCTTTTGACTCCAAAGAGAAAATCCAAACCTAATACTTCAGGCAGAGATGAGCATAGTAAAAATATGTGGACTGACAACTACAGCTTGATCCCTGCATGTGAGAAGTGTGAGTATTACCAGCAGATTCTTTCTCTAATGTGCATAGCTTAAAGATCAGGGTTTGCATTGAGGTTGGGGCAGTGAAGGAAGCTTGCCCTTGGAGAGAAATGGCTAAGAACTAAATACACTCTTGTACCTTCTGTCATTGGAATTAAACATCAATAATACTGTTACTTGCTAGTTGCTTCCAATCCATAAATAATCCTCCTATGTTAACATCAGTTATGAGAAAAAGATCCATTTGACAGTAAATATCAGGCAAAGTAACCAAGAAGCCTCCTTGTTCACAATTTCATAGCTTTACAAAAGACTCAAGATGCTAACTTGAGGAGACAGGGAGTCAAAGAAATGTACAACCAGCAACATCAGCACTTACAAGATTGCGAACATTCACTTCAGAAAGCTGTGGTGAGTTGTGCAAAGCCTAATCATACACTCACATATTTATAGATGTCCAAAGAAAAGCACTGTGAATTACATCATCTCTTTTCAAGTCACCTTTAAGAGAAGCCCAATAGCAAAATGAACCGTATTAAAAAGATTCTGCTCCAGTCATAGTGATTTATCCCTGAGTTAAGCATTTTTAACTGACAGTCTTTCCTGAATAACTGATATGGAGGTATGATTTTCCTGTACTAATGAGAATCTGCACAGCAGAGAAGTAACAGAAACCTACAGGAATAAACCTACTAAAGGTGTAAACTATGTAAGCACCACAGAAAGGAAGGGAAAGATGACAGGCAAAATGCATTGTTAGCTCACAGTGTGATCATTTCTGTACAGCTGCTGACAGCTGTATTGTCAGTGAGGCATTACTGCCACATGCAGAATAGCATGGAAATTTGCATGGGTTTTAATTGGATCAAAATAAACATTTTTAGAACAATGAAATGTGTTCCCAGGACATGAGCACAAGGACTTTGAACAAGAGAAGAACCCGAAAAGATTTCACAGCTGAAGAAATTAAGTGTCTCTTGAATGGAGTGAAAAAGATGGGTAATCACTGGAACCTAATTCTGTGGTCTTACCCATTTCAGAAGGGTCGGACCAGTGTTGACCTTTCCAAGAAGTACCACAGGTTACAGCTGCAGGTAGATAATTTCATTTTCTGCTAATTGTATATGCTGTGAGCTCAGTTTTCATCCTTTGCCCATGACTTGCCAAAAAAGAGAGAGGCTCCCCGAATCTGCGCCCATGGGGCTGTGCTGTGTCAGCTCAGTGCTGTGCACACTACCACCAGAGTGGGCTCTGATGTAATTCCATCAGGGCTTGTGCTTAGGGAGAGGGAGCTAAAGTGGGGAATACCAGAGAGCCTCAGAACCTTTCAGTGCCCCCTGACGGGGTTCAAAGAGAACAAGAGTGTAATTTAGGGACTGAATTAGTCCCTGTGTTTATCAGGAAATTGGTGTTGTCTCTGTTCAGCCTCTTTCCTGGCACTGGTTTGTGTCAGTCTCCATGGGCAGTTCCCCATGGATGATCCCTCACACAGAGGTGCTGTGGTGCTTTGGATACCACAGGAACACTTAAGTGGCAACTGTTTGTCTGCTGAGAGGTGTTCTATAAATGTGCACTGCTTTGGGTCAACATTTGTCTTGATATTTGTGCTTTTATCACCATTTTGTAGATGAAAGAAAAAAAACAGAGATCATCACAAACACCTTCCAAGAGTACTTTGGATTTTGTTGCACAATGTTGAAGAACAGCACTTACAACATAAGTGAGGTATTGCCAGAACAATATGAGCCCTTGGAGAATTTAAGCATAGACTCATGTTTTTCAGGATAACTGACAGACTTGTTATGTTTTGTAAATTTAATTTACTATAATTTGACAATTTTTTTAAGCAATGCTACATAGGCAGCAAAATCTTTATCAGTAAAAATTACTGGTTTTACCTGAATTTAACCTTGAGCATTTGATTTGTGTAGCATTTGATTGAACACTTTGTAAGCAAAGGCTGTATTGCTAAAATGACTGCTTTCTGTCTGAAACTGCTGAGTGTTAATGTTGTTTCTGAGTTTGTTTCCTCTTAATAAGCAAAATGTTTAAAGCAGGAAAATATTTTGCCCAGTGTTTAACATGCTCTATGTGCAGAGAAGTGTAGGTATGGCAGAGAACACTGAATGTGTGGTTAATCTGCTGCATGTGGGAGGCAAATCTTACCTTGCAATACTGTACTCACTGCTGGATTAAGTAGGTACTGATAAAATTTGGCTTCTGTTCACAGCTGGACATCTTTTTGTGTATTATTCAAGCAGAACCACCATTTCTGCTAATTACACAATTTATGGGAAGCTTTAGGGAAAGCCTTAGTGTTTCACTTGTATTTTTTATCTGTTCTGATAAAGGAATGATGAATTGATAGTTGATTTCTTATGGAAGAACTCTCATTATTTTATTAGCACTAGGTTTTCACTATGATTAAGATTTAAAGCAAACAGCATAACCAAAAACTGAGAGACTTGCAGTAAAGATGATGCCAATGGTATAATAAATAGGTCTTCTAATATTTCCAGCTGCTACTTGTTTTTTATATTATTAAAATATTCAAGCACCCATAAAAGATGCCTTGGAGTGGAGGTATTGCCAGCAAAGAGGTTAAACATCAGCATAACTCAGGACTCCTGAGTTATCAGCCCAAAGGACTCCTGAGGAGGTGTGCAGAGGGGTATGTCTGGGGCTGTAACTCCAACAAGGACCCTGAGCTACTCCAGACAAACTGCTGCTTCATCTGTGTTATTCTGGCCTAAAGTATGTTTCAAGTGGATGAAATATTTAAGGTGCTGTTCTGCCAGTTGACGGGGGTGACAGAAATGACACAGACACCAACGGGAAGAATAGGCTAATTTTACTATTGGTGTTTTAAGATAATAGAAAAATGAACAATATATTTACATATACAGTTCGTTTACAAAGCTCTGATACAAACAGCACAAACAACAAAGACAGTAAGAAAGCTAATGCACCTAATCATTACTACACACAGGAAATAACAGTGATTAATAAAGATACATCATCAATTGCCCCAATACTTCCCCATCCCCCAGACCTGCAGTCGCTGGGGAGCCCCTGGGTGCAGCGAGGGTTTGGAGAGCCTTTCCCAGCAGTTGGGAAGTCCTACACAGTGTGTCCACTCGGCACTGAGGTGTCCAAAGTTGCTGCAAGAGGGTCCAGCTTTTATGGGCCACATTAGCAAGTTAAAAATAGCTTGCAGGTTTTTTGGGGTGGTTCTCCCCTCTGAACAACCGAGGTCAAGGCTTGGCCAGAGCCCAGGACACGGGTGGTGGAGTTCCCTAGGATATATTGCAGACAAGGCATGACCTTGGAAATACTTCATGGGCAAGTATATAGCCTGTACCAAGATTATCTATAAAATATTCTGCAGAAGGTGCCATGGCCTAGGACAGATACAGAGCCTATGCAAAGGTTATCTACATCTACATTAAGTGGTCTAACTGTTCACAAGGAGCACAGAGTTCATCTGTAAGTCAACTCTGGCTTGGGCCAATACTGACAATTTACCTAATCTTAGGTAAAATTCAGGATGGAAAGGCTCTCTGGAGTCCATGATCTAACCTCCTCCTTGGAGCAAGGCTCATTTCAGTTAGGCAAGTTACTCAGTGCCTTGTCAAGTTCTGAACATCTTCAAGGATGAAATTTCTCACAGCCTCTTTGGGCAACCTCTTTTGGTGCTTCAACTCCTCTTGCTACGTGAGGTGCTGAAAGAGTTAGCATTGAAACACTCTGGTGTGGACTAGGAGCAAGCACAAACCTGCAGTGTGAATTTGTGCAAGTCTATCTTTTGCTCTCCTCTGGACTGACTGTACAGTCTTGATCATCTTACTCATTTTCTTGCCTAAGTGCTTTGAAATCCACACAAAACAGGCACCACTAAAATATAATTGCATGGGAAGAGTTAATGTCACTTTGAGGCTGCTAGGGCCACCCAGGGCACTATTTCAGTGACGTGAAGAGCAGAATTGCCTGACAAACCATGCAGGGAAGCTTGTGTCCAAAACCATGAGCTGCCTTTGTAGTTCTGTTGGACAAACAACACTTGCTGGCAGGCTGTGAGGCTTTGGTGGTAATTAAAGCTCGCGGCAGTGGGGAAACATTTATACCGGGCGTTGATTCAGCTCCCGCGGTACATACAGCACCAGGGCAGGGACAGCAGCTCGGGGGCGGCAGTGCCCGCAGGGACCGGGACCGGGGGCTGCGGGGGAAGGTACCAGCTGCTGCAGTTACCGGACACCCTGTGGGCACTGGCTGTGCAGGTACGGGACACTGTCCGGGCACGGGATGTGCAGGTGCGGGACACTCCCGGCTCTCCGGTGCAGGTACCGGGCACTCCGGGCTCTCTCCGGTGCAGGTACCGGGCACTCCGGGCTCTCTCCGGTGCCGCAGTGGTCGCTAAGCCGCACACACTCCGGTGCAGGTACCGGTCACTCCGGTGCGGGTACCGGTCACTCCCGGTTCTCC